GCCCAGGTTTTTCCCTAATCTTTCAGGAAGTGCAGTCCCACATAGGGCAGTGACCCCACTAGGGTTTCCCAGCTGTTTATCTTGTTCCTGGGAGGCTGGCTGAGCTGGAATAGAGCCTGATGCACTTGGGATCCACAGAGGATATCCTCCCCTCTCAGTCTGGGTTTTCAGCTATTTCTCTTTGTTTCCAGGGAGGCTGACTAGTCTGGGAGCAGAGACTACTGTCTTCTGTCCAGAAGACAAGAGGAGGAAACAGTCCACTGTGAGGGGATTAGTAGGTAGCTCTCTTGTATGGTAGTAATATAGGACTGATCAGTGAGGAGGTGTCACCATCACCTGAGCTTTTTAGGTATTCTAGGTGGTGAGATCTGATTCCTGATTTTGTCTTGGGAAATCCTTCCAGTTACCAGGAGAAATACAACTAAGATCTTTGAACCTCAGGAAAACAGTCTTGCTGAGTACCCAGTAGAGGATAACAACACATGTTTAGGCTATGTTTCTTGGTTATACAGTTTCATCACTGCTGCTGAAGCAAACTTCTACAGGAAAAATTAGTTTGTTTATTGGGGAAACAGATGTAGAGGGACACTTGAGCTGCATTATGTATTATGTATTATGAGCTATAGCATAATGAATCCAAGGGAAGAATGGGTTTCCTTCCCACCTCTTCTTCCCAGGAGATTATAACAGGTTCCTCACCTACAAGTCCCTTCTAGTTAGAATACTCCTTGTAAGCCTCAGTTCCTAGTTTGATCAGTATGTGATGAGCTACCCTGGAAATTGTGTAGGGATCATAATGCCACCCTAGCATTAAGGCTATGCTTTCTAGCCTTTTAGTGTCTTGCTTTTACGGATCTGTTGAGACTCTGAACAGAAATTGGTACACAGAGCTAAAATGCTGACTTATTCCGCTCTTGATCAAGGCCTTTTGATGAATGACTAGGACAACAGAGTGCCTATGGTGAAATGTGGATTAAAAAAAAGAAGGGTAGAGGTCTTAGTTTGGGCATTTTCCCTTCCACTTGTAGACTTTAGGTGCTTTTTATGTTTTATCCCAAAGGAAACAAATTTTTCAGATTTGGAGATATCCCTTTACTTTTGGAGCTGTTCAAAAGAGCCCATCAGGCAGGGTTGAGAAATAGTTCTGATATCATTGAGGGTCAGAAAGTAAAATCTCTCCAGCCCACTTCTCAAATCTACCAGATATTCCTTCACCATCAGTGGAGGCACTGACAGTCCTTCCTTGGTGACAGAGAATGAATATAAGTGACTTCAGCTGGGTACATGATCATTAATAGAATGGGCACCTGGGTTCTGGTTCTAATTCTTCTGCTAATGGGCATTGCATGTTCTTTCAGAACCAATATGTCTGCAGCATGAAACAAGTGTACATACTTTTTTAGCTCTGAGCTGAGGGTTTCTGCTTTTCCTGAATCCAGGTCCTTCCTTAGCATAGAGCTCTGAATTCACGATACATTTCCTAGTTACATGTGTAATATTGTATGTGGCAAGATGGTATCAGTCACTACATGGCTGGACCACATATGACCTGGGTGGGATATCAATCTCAGATCTGAAGAATTGTGGCCAGAACTTTTGTTAGGATAATATTGATCTTATGGCACTCTTGGGCACCATGAAGGACAGGGTAAAATGAAAGAGATAGGGAGAGAGGAGAGAAAGCTGTTTAAAAATCTCCTCTTGCTTCAGTAGAGTAGGACAACTTACAAACTGTCTGGTGCCTTTCATGAAGTTCTATAATCACAATCTGTTGTTCCCAGTGTAAGTCATGAATTTTTAACCAAGGCTGCATCCCATCTTCCTAGTACCACTGAACAAAGGGAAGGATGGGTATGCCAAGGAACCCCTTTTCCCAATAGAGATCATGTGTGGCACCTCCTGAGCCTGAAATCCTTGGATGGCAGGGAAGGCATTCCTGAAATCCCTCCAATTCTTGGGTACTCCATCATCAGAGACAGATAACCTACCTTGAGACATAGCTTTACTTTTACTAGCCCTGTGGCCCTAAATAACATAGCTCTCACTTCATGTGTTTCCAACTGTGACATGCAATATTATTTACCCTGTTCAAGCTGTATGGTAAATATGAGATTATTAACATTTTTTGGGGGGGTCTGGTTGTGGGGCCTGAACTCTGGGCCTGGGCGCTGTCCCTCAGCTCTTCAGCTCAAGGCTAGCGCTCTACCACTGGAGCCACAGCACCACTTCCGGCTTTTTTCTTTTTTCTTATATGGTGCTGGGGAATCGAACCCAGGGCCTCATGCATTGCAAGGCAAGCGCTCTACCACTGAGCCACCTTCCCAGCCCATTATTAACAATTTTGATAAAGTTTGAGCCATTATGCAAATAAGACTGTGGAAGGCCCCTCATGGGCCCATAGTGCCCGCTACAATACTGAAATGCTGTTGTACCAGTTGGAAGATAGAAATGTAAGGCAGTTTCAGTTGAACAGTGTCTTAACTGCTTTGATTACTATATTCAGTACACATTTAGAAATTATATTCTGCCCTAAACACTTCAGGAAAGACAGCTGAAGGCCAAAGAGATGGAACCATATGCCTATGGTTTGACAATTACAGGTGAATGGGAGCCCTATTCCTTTGCATGTCTTTATGTCTTCTTAACTCCTGGAACTCCTTAACTTATATCCACTCTTGGAAGGAGAAGGTAAGTGATAAGCACAGATTTTCAAGTCGTAAAAGCTTAGAATCCCAAGACCAAGGCATTCCTAGGGTTCAAGGTAAAGCAGATCTTCTCCTAAAGTCTAAAGAGGCTGGCTCTGGCATCACAGGAGTGCTTTGACATGCCTCCCCTGGCTGTATTCCCATCAGGTGGTGACTCTTTACTGTTCTATCCTGGCAGCTTTTCTGTGCTATGTAGTCAGTATCCTGGGCATCACAGCAAGGGCTCATCGCCTGTGGAGCCACCGGACCTACAAAGCACGGCTGCCTCTGCATTCCTAATGGGAAGATTTGAGAACATTTATTTAACATTGATTTAATGTTAAGCATTACTTAAAAAGTGAGAGGACAACTCTGTCTTCTCAAAAGGTGTTCCACCCATTCCCTTTGGCTTGTTTGTCTCTGTCTTCACAGTGTAGAAGGGAATGATGGACCCAGCCCAGAAAGACTGAGTAATCCAAGTCTGTGTGAAAATCCTCTGTCCATTTCTCACTGTGTGGTCTCTCATATAGGTACTATAATCCCAGCATCCTGTTAATATGCTTCATCTGGCCCACACTAGTGCCCTGGTACTGTTGGGGTGAAACTTTTCGACACAGCTTGTATGTTGCTACTTTCCTGCAATACACTGTAGTGCTCAATGTAATCTGGCTTGTGAACAGCGCTGCTCACCTCTATGGATATCACCCTTATGACAAGAACATTGAGGCCCATGAAAATGTCCTGCTTTCGCTGGGAACTCTGGGTAAGTGAGCAGTGTACAACATGACCACGTTCAGTATTTGGTTAGGAGCTGGCAATATCAACTAAGTTCATTTTTAAGACATTTTGTGCCCCAGATTTTTCACCACAAAACTAGTGGTTACTAAATAGGCATGTACTTGCAAGTCATGAAACAAGTTTTATGCAAAACGGGAAAAATAACAATTCCACTAGTTGCAGGTTTCCAAGTCCGTTTCCAAATGGCATGCCTATTGAACCATTCCAAGCTTTCCTTTCTCCAGTCACCTCTGGTCTGGGCTACAGTCTTGTTTTGGGCAGGTGATACATAAATAGAACAATCAGGTCAATAGAGAGACCAATAAGATGAGTATTTTTTTTTTGTTAGTCATGGGGCTTGAACTCTGGGCCTGGGCACTGTCCCTCAGCTCTTCAGTTCAAGGAGAGTGCTCTACCACTTGAGCCACAACGCCATTTCTGGTTTTCCAGTGGTTTATTGGAGATAAAGAGTCTCTGGGAAGGTAGCTCAGTTGTAGAATGCTTGCCTTGCATGCATGAGGCCCTGGGTTCAATTCCTCAGCACCATATAAGCAGAAAAAGCTAGAAGTGGCGCTGTGACTCAAGTGGTAGAGCTCTAGCCTTGAGCTGAAGAGCTGAGGGACAGCGCCCAGGCCCAGAGTTCAGGCCCCACGACTGGCAAAAAAAAAAAGAGTCTCACGGACTTTCCTGCCCCGGCTGGCTTTGAACCACAGTCTCAGATCTCAGCCTCCTGAGTAGCTAGGATTACATGCATGAGCCATCAGCACCCCGGGTAGGTGTTACATTTTCCTGAATAGAATAATTTGTACTGAGATGTGGCTAGCATT